TCTCCTTCTGTCAAAATTGTGAAAAAGTCTCCTTGCAAACAGGCGAAAGCGTTTAAAGTTGAGAAATTCATACTATTGAGTGATGAAAGTGTTGCTGCTAATGATGGTTGTGCCAAGACTGTGAAGGTATTACACTTGATTAAGTTTTCTAATTATTTGTTCTTATGGTGTGGTTACTAATGAGCTGGTTTTGTTTTTATGTTTTTGAACAATAAAGGGGCGAAAGGGAGGTGGACTACATAGTGTATCTAAATTGAAGCCTAATTTGTATGTGGTCTCTCCATTCGAACGGGCAAATCCCAGAGCTAAGAAAGCACAACCTTTGTACCTTGCTCCTCCCTTTGTTGTTAAGACACCATTGACTCTGGAGGCAGTAAAGATGATTCAATTTGCTTTTAGTAGTAAGCTTCCCGGAAGGTACCTCCCGAAAACATTAGAAGTAAGATTGGATCATATTTGTAGGATGTTTTTGGTATTTGCCTTATTCTAATGTTGTGGTGTTTGAACTTGGTCTTGTATAACAGTGACATATTGGTTAGTCTTGATGGCGGGGTTCTTCCCTTGCTCCGTGAAGATTTGGTCCAGCTTTTGCCCAGGACCAAACTTTCAACAAGGGTGAGTTCCTTTATGTGTGTAATTTAGTATATTGAACTTGTATTGATGACTTTGGTATATGTGATGATGATGCATTAGATTATAGAAATGGCGTGTCTGTGCAAGACACTAGAAGAACGAAGTTGTGGTCGCAGTGGTGGCTTGTCTTGGTTCTTTCCACCTTCAGTTTCGGTACAGCTGTCTGCTTTGTCTATTCTTGTCATGAAATTAATCTATTTGTTTGTTACATGTAGCTTGTGTGGGAAACTGCGTTTTAATTTTCTAGGATCATGCGTATCATTGCAACGAGGAGCAATTTATGGCTACCATGGGTTCATATAAGATCCTTACGCGATACTGTATAAATGAGCTACTTTACTACAGTAAGGTATGTTGTAATGTTGTTTTCTAAAAGGAAATGGTTTAACCCTCCTATGTTAAATTGATAATTATTGTTTGTTTGTGCATTATTTCAGATTCATGTCCCAATATTCAACCTCACGTTGACCCACTTCTATCTGGCGTTCTTTAACTTGGAAACCAAAGAAATTGAAATCTGGGACTCATTACCAGGAACTCATAACCAAGAATATGATGCAAGGATGCAGAAACTGGTTTGCTTCTTGTTCTTCAATTTTTCAAACTTGACTTGTTGCTTAGTTGTTAGTTGTTTTCATTTGCCGACTTTGTCGTTAAATATCGATGAGGGGGATGTTTTCATTTGCAGAAATTGGGTCTAGACTTGTTGCTTAAGGAGGATATCTGCGGGGCGTTTTCATTTGTGGACTTTGTGGTTAGATATCGCCAGGATGTTGCTTACCAACCAAATGGGTACCCTTTGTTGTTGTTCAATTGTGCACTGTTCTAATTAAGTTTGGTAATTATTTGTTCGCATCATGACCATGGTAATTATTTGTTATATTACATATTTGATTGTGGACTATTTTTCGCCAATTAATTGCTGGATCCAGATCGATATTCCAAGAAGCTTGACCAGTTCGACAGTGACTATGAACGGCCACAACTTACTATGTACTTGCTCACTGCGCGTTTGAATGAGGTGCAAGCTACAGTTAAGGCACAATCAGATGAATATTTTGAGAGTCATGCGAGACCTGCCCAAATTGAGACAGAGGAGGTGAATTTCAAGACGAACTTACTCAATCGAGGAAGAAAGCCGTTGCACGCGCATGGGGAGAAAAAGGGTAGAAAGTCTAAGAAGCATTGAGAGTTGTGTTGTTAATGTAGAGTTTAGTTAATGTGGATGTTGAATGAAGTTTAGGAAAATGTAGATGTTGAATGAATTTTAGTGAATGTAGATGCTGAATGAAGTTTAGGAAACTGTTGAAATTACAATGAAGTTATGAATGAAGCATTATTCAGTGATGTTCTCTTTTCTCTATATTATGTTTAATGTGTCGACTAGGAAGAAGTTATGAATGATCATATAACGAAAAATTGTTGAAAATGGACCTTATTCGCCCTGCCAGCTGGCTGTTTCACGGCCTCAATAATCCATTCTCACGGCCGTGAGATTGGGCCGTGAGATGGTGATTTGCCTGACGCCTTAAGGATGGAACTTTCACGCCTGTGAGACTGGGCTGTGAGATGGTTTTTTTTCTAACGCCTTAATGATGGGAATTTCACGCTCGTGAGACTGGGCTGTGAGAATGAAAAAATCATTCCCTATAATTCAGGGAACCTCACGGTCTTGAAAGGTGTATCTCACACCCGTGAGATTGTGGGCGTGAGTTAGTGAAAAAAAATGTCATTTAGAAGGATCAAACCCTCGCACTTGGCATAATCATTCAACGCATTAACCAGTCAAACTACCTAACATGTTTTGTAAAAATCATTGTCCGTTTTCCTTTTACAACATATGGTTGAGTGAGCGTTTGATTATCGGTTTTGGGTTCAACCCATGTAACTGTAAACCGATGTCAGATTGAGGTTAGGTATATGGTTGATTGAGTGTTTGATAATGGTTTTGGGTTCAACCCATCTACTAGTGAACCAATGTGAGATTGGTTGAGAGTATAAGTTTGATTGAGTGTTGATTATGGTTTTGGGTTCAACCCATCTACTTGTGAACCGATGTGAGATTGGTTGAGAGTATATGGTTTAGTGAGTGTTTGATTATAGTTTTGGGTTTAACCCATCTACTTGTTAACCGATGTGAGATTGGTTGAGAGTATATGGTTTAGTGAGTGTTTGATTATGGTTTTGGGTAGAACCCATGTACTTGTGAACCGACGTGGGATTGGGTTTACGGTATATGGTTGATTGACGTTTGATTATGGTTTTGGGTTGAACCCACGTACTTTATATGGTTGACTGAGCGTTTGACTATGGTTTTGGGTTTAACCCATCTAATTATAAACGATGTGAGATTGATTTGCGATATATGGTTTAGTGAGTGTTTGATTATGGTTTTGGGTTGAACCCATGTACTTGTGAACCGACTTGGGATTGGGTTTATGGTATATGGTTGATTGACGTTTGATTATGGTTTTGGGTTGAACCCATGTGCTTTATATGGTTGACTGAGCATTTGATTATGGTTTTGGGTTTAACCCATCTACTTGTTAACCGATGTGAGATTGGTTGAGAGTATATGGTTTAGTGAGTGTTTGATTATGGTTTTGGGTTGAACCCATGTACTTGTGAACCAACGTGGGATTGAGTTTATGGTATATGGTTGATTGACGTTTGATTATGGTTTTGGGTTGAACCCATGTACTTTATATGGTTGACTTAGCGTTTGACTATGGTTTTGGGTTTAACCCATCTAATTATAAATCGATGTGAGATTGATTTACGTTATATGGTTTAGTGAGTGTTTGATTATGGTATTGGGTTGAACCCATGTACTTGTGAACCGACGTGAGATTGGTTGAGAGTATATGGTTTAGTGAGTGTTTGATTATGATTTTGGGTTGAACCCATGTACTTGTGAACCAACGTGGGATTGGGTTTACGGTATATGGTTGATTTTCGTTTGATTATAATTTTGGGTTTAACCCATTTAATTATAAACCGATGATTTTTTGGGTCGGTCATAATGAAGAAATTCGTAGATCCTAAACCCTCACCGTCATAAGTCATAACAGTGATGTTGTTTCTTCCTTCTCGTCCTTCGTCGGCGCCAGAGGACTGATCCTCGGTTCCTCCCTGTCGGCTTCTTCCTTCCTGCTTCCCTCCCTCCATCCTACCTCCGTTCTTCCATACGTAGGTGTCCAATTCTTGTTTCCCGGCCTCTGTAGGTCACTCGACCGATTTCGTTTCCCAGCCTCAGTTCTTAATTGTCGTCCTTCGTCGGCTCCTTCTCCACCAATATTACAAAACCAGATTCTTCCTATCTCTCTTCCTTAGTCTTCCCTTCTCTACGCAACCATCGATTTTCCATTCTCCCTTATTCGCCCATCCTTCGCCACCCAGCTAGAACCCTAATTAGTGAGAACCGACACCAAATCGTCGTCGTCCTGGTCTGGCTTGATCCAGCTCGGTGGCGAGCGCGGCTTCGCCTTGGTAATTGGCTTCTTGTTGCTGTTGTTGTTAGTTTTCGGATCTGGTTTGGGGGTTAGGGTTTGGGATTCTTGGTGAGAATCTCCGAAGAAGAAAGAGAATCTCCGATAGCATCAGAGTTGGTAGTAGTCTTCTTGGTGAGTTTCATGGTCTGATTCTTGTTAGCAGAGGAAATGGTAGATTTGGTACCTGTATGTCGATACATCATATATGTTAGATCATCTATATTGGAGATGGGTTGCGGCTGAATTTGTTTTTGTTCCTAGCGAGATTATTACTTATTGCGACTGGTAGTAGTTGATTCCATCGTTCTGGTTGTCTTCTTTGTTCAATTTGGTGAGTGTTGTGAATTGTGATCTTGCTTGGCTTCATTTCATTTGTGAATCGTGTAACACCCCGAACTTTGGGTTATGGTTCAACCATAATACGTGAACGGTTGATTTAACGAGTATGTACGAAGAGTTGCAACAGGGGATTATGAATAATAGTATAATAATAATAACTATTATTATTATTATTATTATTATTATCATCATCATCATCATCATCATCATTATCATTATTATTCTACCAAACCCTACCAACCGAAGGGAAAGAAATCCCCGTTACTCCATTCTTCCCTTTCCCCTAGCGGCAACCGAGAGTAGCAGTTTAATCTTTCCCCCCTCCCATTCCTTCTATTTGCCTCTCGCGCAAGGAGAGCAGCGCCGCGCCATCAAATCCTCCCACTCCCAGCCGATCGCCACCGCCCACCACTTCCCTCTCATTCTCTCTACGCACAATCCCCAGCCTGTCTCTCTCGGTGATGATGACAACGATGACACGATGAGAGATGACGTGGGGGCGGTCAAGAGACCACGAAATTACCCGTCGAGACAGATCGATCGAGGAGTGAGCGCAACTCGGAAATCACTGAAACATCGCCTGTGATCAATGAAAATGGCGCGCTCCAAGAGTTTGTTGGAAGGAGTTAGTGTACGGTTGAGCGGTTGAATGGAATTTACCCATGAGGGATACAAAGAGCAAGTCGATCGGACGCACGAGACTAGATGATCGACTACTTAATAAGGTGAGTGTAAAGGTGGTAAATTCTACGCCTTACGTATTCTTTTAAGTATTGTCATTTTAAGTATTTTAGCGAATTGGTTAGCATTGCTTGATTATGTTTATGATTGATTATTTGTGCTTTGCTTGAGCTATGATTTGAGGTGATTTTGTTCTATTTACCTTAAAGCGTTATGTTATGAGTTATTGTTAAAGTTTAAGAAACAAGTTCTTTTTAAGAAGTAACTCACCTTCAAGAAGGTGAAGTCATTTTAAGTGTTTTCAGTCACTAGCGCCAGTCCGTTGCCTTTGGAGACATTTTGAGATAGAGCAGCAGTAATGCTCTTGAGACTTTTAAGATGAGCAGCAGTTATGCTCTTGAGAATCGTGGTGAAGAGCCACCACGATAAGTTTAAGATGTTAGGGGGATGAATCGTTACGACTCCCCTAACTAAGTTTAAGTTTAAGCAAAGCCCTGGTGACTTCTCATACGTATGAGTTGGCAGCCGGACTAGCTAGTGAGGGATCCCCGTGCCAGTCAAGTATTTAAGTCAAGATTTGAGCTTTAAGAATGGGGAGTAACAGTAACTCCCATACAGTTTTAAGAGTTAAGCTTTTTAATAGTGCTAGTACAAAACAACTTCCACTCAGTTAAGTATAGTGATCAAGCAGTAATAAGATGTTAAACGTAAGGGCGTAGACTGACCCCATCTCACTCACCAGTTTGAAGAGGACTAAGAGGAGTTAGAGAGCAGCGAGTTCGAGAGGAGCAGTTTGAGGGCAGCCAGCTAGAGGAGGGTAGTACAAGCGCTACAGAGGATGTCTCGTCAAGGCTTTCAGGAAGCAGTAGCATTAGATATTATTGAGTTATTACATTTATGATTATGAGTATAGACTGGAGATCATTTTGAGATTTTAAAGATTGAGTTTATTTTGCCCACGTGTTAGGGCGTTGCTTTGAACTACAAATGTGTTTTTTTCAGTATTTTATTTATGAAAATTTTTCCCACTGCAGTTTAAGATTTGAGTGTTTTATTTATCAAGGGCATTTTTGTAAAAGTAGTACCCGGTCGGGTTAGGGTGTTTCAAATGGTTGATTTGTCGCGGAAGTGAAGGGGAAACTATCGAGCTGATAGGGCACCTATCGAGCTGAGTTTGCTTAACTCGGACTTGGCTCGTGTTTGTTTCGTTTCATGGCGATTGAGTGGGTCTGTTCTGCGTTCTGAACTGGGTATTGAGCACCCTATCTCTGGCCGAATTTTTCTGGAGATATGTCACATTGTGGAAGAACGTGAATCACTGTCATTCGAATTTTAAAGCGTGTATTTACTGGTTAGTATTCCTGCTCCTGCATATAGCCAAGGAAGCAGAAAAAGCAACTTTGACTTCATGTTGTGGATTCTGGTACACATTCTTTATCAATCATTTTATTTGAACCATTTTGATGTGTGATTTGAGGATCTGCAGAATCATAAGTAATGAGGGGGTGAAAGAGCTACCTTTTGAGGTTAACATGGGGCTTGGAGGATTCTTTTGTTATGCTATTGCCCCTGTTACAATCAATCCCAGAGCATTATCAGTAGTAGTATGTTAGTTAAGCTTGGTAGGTAATGGATGCTTAAAGATGCACAGAAACTATGTGGCTTATATGCATATGCCTCTAATATTTTTTCGTTGCTTGTTAATTGATTAGTGAACGGTTGGATTCGGTCGGTTGTGGTTGGTGAATATGTGGATTTCAATTGTCTCTAAACTTCATTTTGTTGGTTGTTTTCTGTTGATCAACTATGGAAGGGTTGATGGATGATATGAGCACAGGCAAGGACACGGGAATTGACTTGAATATTGGTTTAGATTGGGGAATGGATTATGGAGATGATACCGGTGGTGTTAGAGATAGTGACGATATGGAAGACAATGTCGAAACCAGCGATAGTGATTCTGAGGATGATAATAATACTAACTTTGGTGATGATGATAAGGAGAGCATCTCAGATGAGCATTTGCCAGCTTCGAAACACAGCCACGTAGCTCAGATGCACCTCTACACAAAGATGCTGCAAATCCAACCAAGGCTCCACCGTCCTCGAGTATGTATGACTGGACCCTGCTTGATAAAGTCGGAATGGGAAGCCATATGCTAAATGGGAGTCGGACATGTTTGAAACCCTTGTGGAGGCTGGCAAGTTCTGTTTAACTTATGGTTGTGCCATGGGATTCAGCGTACGAAAGTACACTCACACATATTCAAAATATGGAGTTAGAAATATGCAGCGATGGGTTTGCTCACGCGAGGGGGAGCGTCAGCCAGTGCACAATGGCAAGGAGAACAGAAAGCGTGAACCTAGGCCTGTAACAAGGCTCCATTGTCCACTGCTTTCAAAGTCAGTTTTGTTGAGGCAACTAACCGATTCAAGGTGAAGCAGTTTGTACCAACACATTTTCATCACTTAGCTGGAGCACATGAAGTGCAGTTTTTGAGTTCTCATCGCAAGGTAGATGACGCAAGTAAGGCTCAGATTCGATCACTTAGGGCTGCTGGTGTTCGCACCAATCAAATCATGGATTATCTAGTGAATTGTGCGGGAAGCTTTCAGAACTTGGGTTTCACTAAGACCGATGTCTACAATTTTGTTAGTGCGAATCGGAGGTCGGAGATCTTGGATAGTGATAGTGAAGCTGCACTTGCCTACTTACAAGCACGGGCAACTACCGATCCTCGTTTTTATTGTAGATATACAGTAAGTGATGGTGGTGAACTAGGCAATATGTTATGGGCTGACTCTACTTCACAATTGGATTATAGTCTCTTTGGAGATATTCTTGTTTTTTACTCGACGTACAAGACTAATGCATATAATCTTTCATTTCTTCTATTCATTGGTGTGAATAATCACAATGCAAGCACTGTTTTTGCATGTACTTGACTTGCGGATGAAACGGCGAAGAACTACATATGGATTCTAAATGCTTTTTTACATTGCATGGGTCGTAAGAAGCCAACCGCAGTTATAACAGATGGTTGTTCTTCAATGTGGAAAGCTATCAAGTCTTTTCTTACTGGATCCCGACATCGGTTATGTTCTTGGCACTTGGGCAATAAAGCAGAAGTGCGTGGCCATGCGGAAGGCTTCTGGGAGGATTTCAAACAAAGCATGCTAAACTACAGTTCTATTCCACAATTTGAAGCTACGTGGAAGGAAATGTTGTCCAAGTATGACCTGGAGCACAATGCGTGGATGAAGAAGATGTATAGGCGACGAGCTCTATGGGCCGCAACTTACTTGAAAGGTACGTTCTTTGCTGGGATGACTACGTCACAACGTTGTGAGAGCATGAACTCTTATCTAGACAAATTCTTGCAAAGTAAGACGAAGTTGTTTGAGTTTGTCAAGCAGTTTGACATGGCACTTTTGTATAGGAGACAAACTGAGTTACATGACCAGTTTAAGACAATACATACTGATGTTGTTTTGATGACACATTTACATGAAATTGAAAGACATGCCTCTATAGTATATACAAGAAATGTGTTCAGGAGCGTTCGAGAAGAAATAGCGAGAGAAGTTCATTACTATATTACAGACAAGTGTGTGTTGACCAATAAAACAATTTACAAATTATCACGATTCAAATACCTTGACTCAAAGTGCACCGTGGTCTTTTACCCGAGTGGACATGATGTGCATTGTTCTTGTGGCATTTTTGAGTTTTGCGGAATTCCATGTCGGCATATATTCTGTATATTGAAAGCAGAAAATCAAATTCAAATTCCAAAGTCACTCATTTTGAAGCGTTGGACTAAAGATGCAAAAGAGTTCGATCCCTAGAGTATGGGAAGCTGTCCTAACCAGCAAAATATTAGCAGGTATTATAAATTTAAGCTGCTGATTTAGTTCTTTGTTTACTTCTATTGTGCTTGGAACCAACTATAAAAGTGCTTGTTTATTTGGACAGGTTTGGATTCTTGGTTGGTCAATGTAGTAGAATGTGTCATTATGTTGTGAGTTCGGATGAAGCATTTCATACTGCCAAAGGGTTGATTGAAGACTTGACCTTGCGAGTGAAGACAATAAGTGAAGAAACAACCAGCAAAACAAATAATGCTACTACGGATGCTGGAGTGAACTCCTCTCATTTTATTAAGGACCCCTATCCAGTTCGAAGTAAAGGGAATGTGAAGCAACCTCAAGTGAAAACACGGTTGTGCAAGTATTGTAGGCGTCCTAAACATACAATCAGAAATTGTCCGCTGAAAAGAATGGTTGAAGCAAGTGCAGGTGATAGTCATTTCACGCAACAAGAATACAACTTCGAGTCCATAGGAGCATGTGAAAGCAGCTTTCATGTGGAGACTCAAGAATTTGTTCTACTTCCCAAACGATCCAAGCACAACCTGTAATGCTGGTGTTCGGCTTCAAACAACATTATGTTTCATCTTGTAATGTTTGTTTTGTGCAAGTTAGTATCTAGTGACATTGAATGGATCTATGTAATGCTCGTGTCTAGCTTCAAAGAACATTATGACTCATCTTTTCATAAGCTTGTAGTTTTCAAAAACAGTATATTATGTTTCTTACACCATTATAATAAGTACAGGGTTTAGTTACACAGGTGAATGTCTGTGCAGACTACTTCTGGAAATCTCACGGCCAATTCTGGAAATCTCACGGCCGTGAAAGCAGGCGTGTTTTTGGATTTGAAATTCTGGAAATATCACGGCCGTGAGAGAGGCCGTGGATGTAAAAATGCACTTCTTAGTTTCCCATGGGTTTTCACGGGTTGGGTTCGACAATATCACGGCCGTGAGATGAGCCGTGTTTTTGGATTTGAAATGTTGGATTTATCACGACTCATCTATAAATTCTCACGGGCGTGAGATTAACCCGTGAGATGTTCGCAGCTGATATGGAAACCTCGCGGCTTGTAATTAAATTCTCACGGACGTGAGACTAAGCCGTGATATGGAAACAAATCCCAATTTCTCACGCCTCATAACTGAAATCTCACGGCCGGGAGATGTACCGTTAGATTTTAAAAAAAAAGGAAGTTCCAGAGAGTTTCACCGTTTGGAGTCGGTAATATCCCGCCGGGGATAAAAGCCGTGATGGGAACCCTAAAATTTGAAACTCCCTATTTGAAACTTCCTATGTTCTACTTCGACCCGACCCCCAGCCCTCTGTTCTACTTTGACCCCCAACCATCGCTCACTCGCCCTCAACTCCTCCTCCTCGTAACTGCTCCCTTCCCCGGCGCCTCCGATCAGCAACTGTCCCCCCTTCCCCGGCGCCTCCTCTGTTCCCCTTCGATCCCTAACGCCTCACAAGGTTCAGCGGCGACGGCGACCACTTCCCCACGTGTCTGCGGTTCCACTTCGATCCCTAGCCCTCTCTCAACCTCTTCTCCGACCTCACCTTCTCTCAACCATCGATCCCCAATCCCTCTCCCAACCTCTTCTCCTACCTCGCCCTGTCTCAACCTCTTCTCCCACAGGTAAATGGAAGTTCCCATCATTTTCTTGTATGGAAGTTCCAATCATTTTACTTCTTTTGTTCTAAGGTAGTCTGAATGCTTCTGGTGAGTTCTTCTTAACCATAGTGTCACTCTTCTTTGGTTTCTTGCATTTTTTAGGGTTTAGTTGCCCAAGGTTGGTCTGAATTAGGGTTTTGAATTCCTTATCATCGATTTTATTAGTGAATTCCGATTTTCCTGCCTTTGAGTTTATGCTTCTCTTCCGTTTCACTACTTGGCCAATGTAATCTACTTCAAGGCTGCTGGCTTTTGCAGTGAGCCATTTTGACTGATCATGATGGTGTAGACGTGATTAGAATGCTCATGGGATCTTCTCCCTTGACGTCACATTGACTATTCCCTCGTCGATCTCTAAGGAAGGAAGCAAGGAGAACAAATTTTGCAAAATGGATACTATCCTTGGACAAGGAAGGAAGCAAAGAGATGGCTATCGAAATGTAGAGAGAGATTGAAATACAGAGAGATCGAAATACATAGAGAGAAGTTTTGAGTGGGAGGGATGCAATGGGTGAAAGACCCTTGACCAAGGATTGTAGCAAGCTTGGAAAATTTGTTCTGTCCGGTATCACCCCGGCTCCAAGGGGAGTTACAATAGTAGTGGATACCTTGGAGATCGACGAGGATGGAATACTCAAAGAGACGTCAAGGGAGAAGTTTGTAAGTCTATATCTTCCAGTATCTTTGTTCAAAACTGGAATGCATACCAGATTCCTTGATTTGTGAATTGCTTATGCTTATGCACAATTCTTTTCCCTCTCATTTACTAAAGACTAAATGTGCTTAGTTGTTTTTTGTAGGAATGGGGAAAGCTAAACAAAAAACCACGCAACCATCAGCCTCACCTGCCAAAGTGAAGGCTCCTTCTCGTCGTCGCCACCAAACCCAACAACGAGACACTCCCCCCAAACGACAACGCAAAAACAATCAAGGATGGGCACGTCAACCATCTCCACCACCACCACCACAACCGGAGGCTCAACTTGGAGGAGGGGGACTGCCCGACTTCCTCCAACTACCCGACAAACATAGGAGGGCTTTGGAGCGCTACCTTCCCCTCCCATTTGGGCAGCAAAGATGCTTTGATTGGGATCTCCTAGAGCGCCTCGGAGCAGCGGACCCCGTTCTCACATGCCTCCGTCTCCCGGCATGGTGTGAGGTTCTCTCAATCAATGAGGTCATCTATCGAGAGCTTACCATTGAGTTCCTCAGCACTCTCTCCATCAAGTATATATCCGAGTTTAACCTCGACAAGCCCGAAGACAACATAACTTTTCGCCTTGGAGGACAGGCGAGACAGATGAGCATCACTGAGTTCACAGAGGCACTCCAGATATACCCACCAGGATTTCAAACTACAGATGGACATGGTTTGATTTCAGAGAAAATATATTCATCAAGTGCACCATTGGTCGATGCTATGTGGAGAACGGTGAAACAAAGCCATGTGGCAAAGTCTGACACTGCCCACTATAAAGGGAATGATCTTCTTCCCCCTTGGCATATCATCCACAACATTATCGCTCATTCTGTGACAGCTAGGGAAGGGAGCCCGGGGAGTGTGACCAAGCGAGATTTGAACTTTTTCCTCTCTATGGTAAAAGATCCCCCAATTCATCTTGGTTTATTCATACTGAAAACCCTACAGAAGATGATCTCCAACAAACAAATCAAGACCATCTATAGAGGTGCCTACATCACAAGGCTAGCTCGCCATTTTGGCATTGATCCGGTGGGTTCTTATTGCACCATTGCCCAGTCCACTCAACCAATCTCCCAAAAAAAAAAACCTTGTGGATCTATATTTGTTGTCAAAGGTAAATGTTCCAACCAACACTTTTATTTTCACAGTGAATGCTAAAACAGAACTAGTTGGGATTCAAACAATCTAGGATCGATTTTGTGCAAGTTCCTTTTGAACATTGAGCAAATGTAACTAATGCTTCTGATATTGATCATGTCTGTGTTTGGTGGTTAAGGAGAATGGTGTGCTAGGCATTGTTGGCCTCCCTCATCCTGCTCCTCCTCTTGCAACAGATGAGGCAACCGCATCGGAGCATGTTGTTCAGCAAATGGTCGAGGAGACTCCGGAACAACCTGCACAACATCACCAAACTACGACTCAAGCCGGACCATCCACCGACACATACATATCCCATTTGGAGGCATTGGGTCGGCAGAATGCCCAAATTCTGGAGCAAAATGCACTCATTCTCCCCCGCCTCGATCGAGAGAAGAAACCTCGACGCTACATCATCAAATGCAACCATCACATCATGAGGTCCTTGAGGATTGACTACAAAAAATTCTCAAGACCTTGGGAACTATCTCCTAAGCCAACCGAGGAAAGCAATGAAGAGGGAAGTGAAGAGGATGACGAGGGTAATGACGATGACCAAAACAAGGAAAGCAGTGAAGAGGACAATGACACTAATGAGGAAGAGGGCAATGAAGAAGATGACGAGGGCAATGACGATGACCAAAACAAGGAAAGAAATCAAGAGGACAAAGGGACCAATGAGGAAGAGGGCAGTGAAGAGGACGATGAGGGCAATGGCGATGAACAAAACAAGGAAAGAAATCAAGAGGACAAAGGGACCAATGAGGAAGAGGGCAGTGAAGAGGACGACGAGGGCAATGGTGATGACCAAACCAAGGAAAGAAATCAAGAGGACAAAGGGACCAATGAGGAAGAAGGCAGTGACTCTAGCGAGGTCAATGAAGATGAGCAAATCCAGAAAACAATGACGAGGACGAGAACACTAACGAGGAAGATGGGCAGTGAAGATGAGCCAACCAAAGTCCTTACTTAGTACTTAGCTATGTGTGTTTGCGTTTGTGCTTGTATGTTTTCCAATTAGAATATGATGATGCACCGGTGTGGGCTACATGCAGCTAAACTTAAGCATTAATTAGACAGATTTAATCGTGTTATGTATGCTTGGTTTATTAGACAAATGTGATGCTTTGACTGCTTTTTACTTTTTGTTAACAGGGTATCTCATCTGATATGATGTACGGTTACTAGAGAACAGTGAATGGATCTATGTAATGCTCGTGTCAAGCTTTAGTAAACATTATGAATAATCTTTTTCATAATTTGAAGTTCTGGAAAAAAGTTCATTCTGTTTGAAACACCATTATAATAAGTACAGGAGATAATTCAACAGGTGAAAGTCTCCTACTGGAAATCTGACACCTTATACTGGTAATCTCACGACCATAAAATACTCAATTGAGATGTAAAAAGCAGTGCTTCATTCCTCAGGAAAATATCACGGCCGTGAGATATCCCGTGAGATGCAAAGAGCAGTTCTCACTATCCCAGAAAATTTCACGGCTAGTACTTGACATTGTCACGCCCGTCAAAATCTCACGTGAAATTAAAACACACAGTTGCCACTCAAACGTTCTCACAGCTCATTCTGGCAAAATAACAGCCGTGGAATTAAGATGTACCAACACTTTCTAGAGTTGTACCCTTACACTGAACTTAAAGTTGTACCTACACTTTCCTAAAAATCTTCTATGGTACAATTCACAATTGTATTTATACACTATGGTACAACTAATGTTGTACCTACACTATCTAACAAATCCCTCTATGGTACAACTCAAAATTATACCTATACTTGTGGTACAACTTTACGTTGTACCGACACTTTCTAACAAATCCCTCTATGGTACAACTCAAAATTGTACCTATACTTGTGGTACAACCTTCACTTTTACCTACACTTTCTCAAAATCCTTCTATGGTACAACCCAAACTTGTACCTATAGCGTGGTAGAACTTTAAAATGTACTTATACTTTCTAACAAATCCATCTATGGTACAACTAGAAATTGTACCTATACTAATGGTACAACCTTAAGTTGTACATACACTTTCTCAATATTCTTCTACGGTACAACCCAAACTTGTACCTATACTATGGTACAACTTTAAGTTGTACCTACACTTTCTAACAAATCTCTCTATGGTCCAACTCAAAATTGTACCTATTCTTGTGGTACAACCTTATGTTGTACCTATACTTTCTAAAAATCCTTCTATGGTACAACCCAAACTTGTACCTATACAATGGTACAACTTTAAGTTGTACCTACACTTTCTAACAAATCCCTCTATGGTACAACTCAAAATTGTACCTATACTAATGGTACAACCTTCAGTTGTACCTACACTTTCTCAAAATTCTTCTATGGTACAACCCAAACTTGTACCTATACTATGATACAACTTTAAGTTGTACCTACACTTTCTAAAAATCCTTCTATGGTAGAACCCAAACTTGTACCTATACCATGGTACAACTTTAAGTTGTACCTACACTTTCTAACAAATCCCTCTATGGTACAACGCAAAATTGTACCTATACTAATGGTACAACCTTAAGTAGTACCTACACTTTCTCAAAATCCTTCTGCGGTACAACCCAAACCTGTACCTATACCATGGTACAACATTATGTTGTACCTACACTTTTACAAAAAACTCTATGGTACAACCTAAAATTATACCTACACGCTAGGTACAATTTTGAGTTGTACCTACACTTTGTGAAACAAATTCTTCAATGGTACAGCTGAAAGTTGTACCTACACGATATGGTACAACTCTAATTTGTACCTACACTTGTATACATTGATTCATTATTTACAAGATTGCCATTAATGATGTGGGACCAGTCATTTAGTGGGTTTACCTTCTCAACAGGTCACCTTTTTTTTACATAGCATGGGTGCTATAGAGCACACTAAAAGGGCTCCTCGTTATATTGTTTTAATTTTAGGTCTTTTGGACAATAATATTAAACTAGTAAATCAATTAGATCAGAACGAGGTTTGACGGTTAATGTATGATCGAAACAACCGACCAGTCCATAGCTAACGAAACAAACACAAAAAATAATCAAAATAACATTGTAATTAGTTGATGAATTTATTGACTGGGTCAACTGATCTTGTTTGATTCTAATTAAAAATCCCAATTTTGTTCCTTTTATTTTTGTGTAATGTTGTGGCTTGTGGCCGGTTCTTTTGTTTTTCTTTCATCCATACTTCTTTCACCGATTTGTTGCTAATTATGGGGCAAGCATATACTTGTTTTCAATAAATTTTACACAGACATTGATAAAAGTATATTTAGAGATGACCTGAACAAATTGGTAGATAATCACATGAATCTAATCTAATCGGGTAGGGTAAAATTCGAATCCAAAAGATTTTTAATAGTCATGGGTAAATCCAAAACCGAATATTACAGGTAATGGGTAGCCATGATTTTCTCTCCATTCAACCATGCTCCGCCCGATTATACAAAGGCATATGTATGTGGTTTAAAAATAATATTTAATATCTCAACATGTTTTATTTTTATTATACATATACAATATTGTCATGAAATTGTGTATATTTTAATTTATTTTCTTCGTTCTAGTAATTTATTTTTGTATTTTTCTCTTTTGTAATGTTAGTATACATGTAACTGTTAACATGTTGATTAAAGTTATAAAGATAAATTATTGCTTGTGGATGAACATGGATACCGAAAACTCGATCGCGTATTAGTATGATTTTGATATTCTACCAGATTCTTGTTTGGATATGAACACAGATATTACCCGAACTACTTTGAATAGGATAATGAATATGCAGTCTTCACCCCAGCCGATTGGTGTTACTTATATTTATATTTTTTATAACGTGAATGTGAGATTAAGTGATTGCCGATTTAGGTTGTATTCCCTCTTAGGGTGACAAGATTAAGCTACATGTACAAGCTATCAATTCTTTTTTCATATTGGAAGCCTTAAATGAAATCTATGAAATTCTATGGATCCTTGCCCCTATTTTGACTCTTGTATTGGGAATTATAATAGGTGTACTAGTAATTGTATGGTTAGTATTATTTATCTAATTATTTATTTCAATAAATTCGAATAAATTTTGTATATTTAATTATTATTATTTAAATAATTAAATAATAATCGAGTTTTTATGCTTGTTCTTGAAGCAAAAAGCGTTCCATCCGTTACTGAATAGCTTCTTTCAAAAGGGCTCGAATGGTACGATCCCTCCGTCGCCCTATGAATACCTTTATGCTTTGCAGAGATATAAGGTGTCATTCTTGGATTCCATTTTCTAGTACCATGACCAAAATGAACTCTCGCTCCGAGCATCTCTTATAAATTAAGAATTAATGTTCTAATATCTTCTTATCAAATTAATGTACCATCATCAATTAATGTTCCATTTTCTAGTCCCATGACCAAAATGAACTCCCCCTCCGAGCATCTTCTTACCAATATCTTCTTGGATTCCATTTTCTTACTACATCCCACAAATTATTGATGATGATGATGATGATGATGATGATGATGATGATGATGATGATGATGATGATGATGATGATGATGATGATGATGATGATGATGATGATGATGATGATGATGATGTTGATGATGATGATGATGATGATGATGTTGATGATGATGCACTCACAAAAATGAGTGCATTCAATGCACGCAACTCAAAAACTAGTCTCTTAAGGTGTCGGATGTAGAATTAGTGTAATATGATGATATAACATATGATAACAACTAATTAGCGGATTACCTTAAGCCCTAGACCTCCAATTTTGAGTTCTATCCCTAAACCCCAAATTGTAAACCCTAACCCTAAATCTCTAAACTCTAAATCCTTCAAATTAAGTAAATTTTTAATGAATTTTGTGCAAATTCATGTGCGTTATTATTCATCGCATCATATGTGATGATTGACATTATTTTGACACAAATCGCATGTTTAAAATGACGATTATGAAGCGAATGCACTCAAATAAGTGAGTGCACCGAAGACGCCACCATAATAATAATAATCATTTGGTAGATTGGTATAACGTATGACAATAGTGTAGATCAGCATCAGCTAATCTCTTAGGTAACAGTATATTGAGTTTAACTTCATATATATTAATGCTTCTTATGCTGAAATGCTGAAGAGAAGATTAATTTGAAGTGATGATTCCCTAATTGCCTGGTCCAAAATGCATCTACTTTGTGGTGAAGCCTAATTCTGTTATTATTAACCCAATTGCCTAATGAATTAGCAACTAAGGATCACATTATTAACCCAATTGCCTAATGAATTAGCAACTAAGGATCACATTATTAGCCCAATTGCGTAATCCGGAAAAACTTCCTTCCAGAATCTAAATCAGTAGGGCATTAACCATATGAAATGATTGAACCACGATTTCAGTATAAAATATCCTGTAGCGAACTTATCCAGTACAATTTCACAATCATTGGTTACTGCGTATCAATGCATTTCAGCTTGCTGATCAAGTATTACCCACCATGTGATCAAGTAATATCCACCATAACATGGATCATATCGAATAATACCAACGAGACAAGCTCTAATTACCATGCACCCTACACGAATCATATTGAATAATACCCTAGACAAGTTCAAATTGGCATCCTAACTTACTAGTACTTTCCTATTCAAGAGGTGCACTATGACCGACGTGTTCCACAACCAAACCGCAGAGTTACACAGTCGTGCTTTAAATCAAGAAGAGTTTTCTCAGCCAATATATTTCTCAGTGTCGATAAATCCACATCGGAAACCAGATACTACTACCAATTACAAAGCAGTGAAGCACACTCACATCGAATCTCAAGCCAAGAAAAAAAACGATAATGGAGATAGACAGAAGACAGCGGACTGGATACCAAACCCGTCAAATAAAATCATGTAATTGATCATCAGTGAGACACCGAAATAAGATACAAGGCTGGGTCTCACAAATTAAGTGAGGTCGTCCTCCTCTAGCTCCTTGGCCTTCAGCTTCTCTTTCACCCTCAAGAGAAGGGTCGTCTTCCACGAGTCCTATATAGCAAAGTTTCAGGCAACACAGTGCAAAAATCATCTAATCAGAACATACTGAATCCAAATTGAACCATGCACTACGCGATTATTTTTCACTGCGGTAAAAGAAAATGGAGCAGAACAATGAATTGAGTGGATACGCATTCCAGGATACATTTACAAAAAAAAAAAAAAATTACCAATTGGGTCATGCTGTCAAATTCCTTGACCACATCAGTGAACTTTGTAATGTCTTCCTCGTCGATGGCACTAGCAAGATCCTGATGTAACACAATGGATTACATCTCAGCTTTACCCATTCCATTATCTTAGTCACAGGCAAAACACACACACGCACACTGAATATACATATAAGCCACAATAAAGTTATCCATGTTCCTAACATGTGAACTGAGATCATACGTGATAAAGATACCAACATCAAGCTAAATATTCTGCAGGTAAAACCTTCCAGAAGCCAAATCATGAAACATCAGCAAGTAATCGTGAATAGAACATACCGCTAGCAATCTGTATTCACGAGTTCCGGAAAATGTTGGATCCAAATCCTACAAGCAAGAGTAGAATAGTTTCTTCAAGTAAGACGGTGCATTTTTTTTTTTTTTAATATCATGTGCTACTAACAATCAAGAAGCAAAACAAACCTGATATTTCTCGAGCGCATTGGTAATCGCAACAACGTCACCTTTGCAGAGATGGCAAATCCCAGCATTCAGAAGATGACCTTTAACTCCATACTTGAGCAAGTTATTACTGAGAGAATGGCGTGCAATCTCTTCATAGATCTCAATTGCCTTGGGGTATCTACAGACCAAAGTAATTATTCCAATTCTTTAGAATGTGATCCATCATCCCAATTTTTCAGCCAACATGTGAACTTGAAAGAGAGAAAATGAAGAGAAAAAAGCATTAAGAAATTGGAAGTAGAATATCAACAAGAACAATCAGCAGCCTCACTGTTCCAATTCCGCAGCAAACTGAGCTACTTTCTGCTTGCACTGGTTGGCAGAAGTTGTTACTTCTTCACCTTGGAAAAAATCAGCAGCTTTTTCATAAAACTCGATCGACTTCTCTATATTTGCTTCTGATTCATACAATTCAGCAATTTCCTGAAACAGAGAAGCCCAACTGGGTTAGATGATGACCTGGAATAGGAAAGACCCAATAATCTTCCAGAACACTTAAGGGGGTAACTTGAAAATCACACCTTGTTGTATCTTGCAGCCATACTGATCCTTCCAATGTCACAAAACATTTCCACTGCCTGACCTAGGCAAGAAATTGCCTCTGCATACAGTGATGACACAAAGAATCAGCAACAAAAGTGTGTAAGCTACTGTATTGTTAGAAGGAATTAGGTGCACGAATCAACTACGGACCAAGGGTAAGCAAAATGTTTCCAAGGGTTCCAAAGGCAATCAATGGAGCAACTCAATGTTAGGTTCACTATGAAAGTATAATTAGTTTAAGGCATAAACTGAGCCCACGCGCAAGCCATAAATCAACAGTATCTTTGGTACTGCAACAGCACATTTCACTGGTAATGAGACACAGGTTACTCTAAATAATCTCAACGACAATTTGCAAATGAATCTTTGTTGAATTAATAGGTTGCCTATATTGTCTAAGCCTGTGTTCTCCAATGTTGAGACTTTCAAAGGATACATTATCTTGTCTCAGGAAAATTCACATACCACTTGTGGATGTCTTTTTATAGCAGTGAGCAGCATCAACATAAGCTTGTGCCGCCTCATGTTTGCTGTCCAACTACAAACAGAAAGTGCCAATCGCAATGAAACTCCCAAGCAAATGAAACCAGTCCTCAATCCTGCATTAAAGCACTAAAATACTTACTTTCAGATGACAGTTTGCAAGCTTGACATATGTAGCCCCAGCTCTATCCCCTGAAACAACATAAAATGGTGATTAGAGCTAAGCATTTTACAAAGTTCAACAAGATGGAGGAACACGATACTGATACAATCTAAGGGATCAAGTGAGATCAAACCCAAGCATATTTAACTCATTCATCAGCTTGAACAGTAAACTCACTTTAGGCTGACTATTAACCCAACATCCTTAAAGCACGAAACTAATAATTAGAGGTTATATTCCTAAATACAAGTTCAATTATAGCACCGCTCTGGACACACAGCCAATGTGAACAACTCTCCACCCAATCATCATAAACTAGACCCATGAACGTGCAGACATCCAACAACGAGCCTCGGAATTGAAGCCCCAATTCAGAGCCAAAATCCTACATTAACTGAAAATTCAAACACCGAGCTGTGCCCTTCAATCCGGAAAATAAAATTTTACGAGCAAACGATGGAGAGCATCAAGATCAACCAAAGGGAAGGCGGATCCTGAACACTACCCGACGAAAATTCAATCAACCAGAAAATTATCGGAGAGCAGGAGGGAGGAGAGGGATTACAGGATTTAGCAAGTTTGTAAGAATTAGCAGCTTTGTCAAACAGATCGGCCGCGTCTTCGAATTTGGAGCCGAATATGCCCCAACCGCTGAGCTTCTTCTCTGCTTTCTTCTCGAAATCGTCCGCCCTGGCAATCTGATCTCCCATCTCCGGACGATTTTTAATCCTTTGGCCACTGGATCTTCGATGGTCGGAGAATGGAGGTTAGAATGTCTTACGATCGGAGGATGAATACGAAGCCCTAATCCCCCTTTTCGAACGACATGAGGATATATAGTCAGAGAGAAAAGTAAACAAATTGAAACCAATTTCAATTGAAGAAAACAACCTTTTTCTCTCCCGACTCGACTTGATTCAGACGACCGACTTCTTTCCTTCAACTGAAACGCAGTGTCGTTTTCTGCTGGTGATGGGATTGATGTCGTTTAGCTACCGGGCTTTGCAAAATTGACACAAAAGGTGGCGGTGGAGGGCTGGAGGCCCAGATCTCACCTGCAATGAGGTCATCACATCAGCCATGTGTCAAGCAACCTTGGCCCGATCTAACATGTGGGATGTGGGCCTGTACCTCAGAAAAAAGCAGCTCCTCCCAACACACCGAAGTATAGGGATTTGCAATATCGGATCGCATCGGACAAAATTGGTACTTGGATAATACAATGTAGTATGGATTTTGCTCCCATGAGTTTTATACAAATCGAAAAAAAAAAGACAGAATTAACATTTGGTGGAAACGAATGTAGTGTTGGTCTTATCTTTGATGTTAAGATGTCTTTCACTATTGGATCATAATTCACATCGGTTTAGTCCAATCCGAACCGTTGTACATTAGCTGATATGAGAGAAAGAGGAATTAGAATATGAAAGAGAAGGTTCAGGTTTGTAAGGAATCATTATTGGAGACACTCCATAGCTGCAAGTAGTATTGCTATTAACCGCAAGTAACTGATAACCACAATTTGCGATTAGTGGTTAACCATAAACCGTGTGTGGTGCGATCGCAGTTGGTGATTTTTCTTTTACGAGGTTGCGGTTAACCGCGTTATTCGGTACGAAAAACCGCAACCGCACCGTTTTCCACACCTAACAATAAATCCACCATTCTTCATTAAATCTCACTCATACCAATGCTTGTTATCTTTTGCTACTTCAATTTGTTTATGTTATTTGTTACTCTTTCTTCTCTATAAGTAGAGTAAAAATCCTTACGTAAAATTAAGCATTCAATCAATAAATAAAACATCTAAAGTTTGCTTCAATCAAATTCATTATGATATCAGAGATGTATTTTGAATTCAGTGAGGGAAGGGCAAAGAAGACGAAAAGGAAGAAACAAATCCAGTGAGAATTTTTCAATACCTTTTCTATTGTGCCTTCCATTTATTCTTCTATTCTTCAATTCTCAGTCTTGAGCAAGTCCTTGTCTAGACTACTCTTCTTCAATTATATGCTTCCACCATCAAATTTGGGAGTCAGACTCGTCAATCTCCGACCAGTAGCTCTGGTCGTCATCTTCCTGTCTCCGACGAGGTTTTCTTACTCGCGCTGCCGCTGCCATTGTTAGTGACAGAACAACAAAAAACAAGGTTACCGAATTTGAAGCTTAGTCACGGACTAAGTCGAATTTTTTAAGATGTTCACGGCACTGCCTTTGTTGTGCACAACAGACTATCAACCAGTCTCCTCCAGGATTAACAGCTCGTCTAGGGTGCTAGGTGGTTTTGTGCAAAAACTGGAGCTCTATAAATACTATCTCGCTCGTGTTTCTGCTCTCTGACAGTGTGTCTAGAGAGGCTTGAGAGACGGCTATTTATAGGAGTCAAGATCCCCACGAATATACCCTCTAACTTGGGGAATAAATCGCGTTAGTTAGAAAGATAATTATTTCCTTAATTAAATCGCATCAAGTAAGATAATTCAACAGGAATTAACTCTCGAATAATTTTTTGAGTTTAATTATCTTTGAATAGGTTAAGGATACAAAATAATTAGATCATAATTTATTTCAGAATTTCTTGAAAAAATATTAGTCTCAACTCTCAAGCAGACCCACCTACCCACTCGCTCGATCGTCCGACTGGTCGGACACACAAATGACGCGCGTGTGTGGTGGTCCATTACGTCCTTCCTCTCCCGCAAAAGTAGTCACCCCAAGGCAGGGACGGAGCCACAATTTGAAGTTAGGGGAGCCGAAAATTTTTCTTTCTTTGTGACATATTTTAAAAAACTTTGCCCGTAAATTCTTGAAAACACTACAAAAACATAACTAATTTATGAAATTTTGTTTAAGAATTTAATACAATGAATATTTGAGCTATAAAACATGTATAATGCATACATATTTAATATCTACAATGCAAGTCACTAATTATTAGTCTCAACTCTCAAGCAGACCCACCTACCCACTCGCTCGATCGTCCGACCGGTCGGACACACAAACGACGCGCGTGTGTAGTGGTCCATTACGTCCTTCCTCTCCCGCAAAAGTGGTCACCCCAAGACAGCGACGGACCCAGAATTTGAAGTTAGGGGGGCCGAAATTTTTTCTTTCTTGGTGACATATTTTAAAAAACTTTGCCCGTAAATTCTTGAAAACACTACAAAAACATAACTAATTTATGAAATTTTGTTTAATGATTTAATACAATGAATATTTGAGCTATAAAACATATGTAATGCATACATATTTAATCTCTAGAATGCAAGTCACTAATTATTAGTCTCAACTCTCAAGCAGACCCACCTACCCACTCGCTCGATCGTCCGACCGGTCGGACACACAAACGACGCGCGTGTGTGGTGGTCCATTACGTCCTTCCTCTCCCGCAAAAGTGGTCACCCCAAGGCAGGGACGGAGCCACAATTTGAAGTTAGGGGGCCGAAAAAATTTTCGTTCTTGGTGACATATTTTAAAAAACTTTGCCCGTAAATTCTTGAAAACACTAAAAAAACATAACTAATTTATGAATTTTTTTAAGGATTTAATACAATGAATATTTGAGCTATAAAACATATATAATGTATACATATTTAATTTCTAGAATGCAAGTCACTAATTATTTAACGATTAGAATTTTTCAATTCTTGTTACAAAAATGTAGTTGATTTGACCAAAGAAAATGCAATATATACATTGAAGCATATATATATAATGCAACAAAAAATGGTAAGGATCAGTGAGGGGTCGAACTGCTGATCTCGAACACATGAATGAATTTATGCCAACATTCTTACCACTTAGACTATAATTCAACATTTGTCTACCTGCAACCTTCATGTTTTTAAAATTTTTGGGGGCCATATGCCAACAAGTTGGCTCCGTCCCTGCCGCCCAAGGGGCATTGCCCCTAAGAGAGAGGCTCCTATCCTTATATATCTTTGACAAATGTAAAACCACCAATGTGGTAGTTTTTTCTTCTTGAGACTTATAGCTTCAAAGGCTATTCATTTCCAACAATCCCCCACCTGAATAGTTTTAAAACTATCTCTGAGCATCAACAGTTCCATAAGATCAGGCATAAGTTAAGATATCACGAAGATTTGAACTTTAGCGTAGTGTTTACGCTTTTGATTTCATAAGGGTGACTCGTAGTCTTGAACCTATCTCGGATAGTGTAGCACACCAGATCTTTTCATTGAGTTGTATTCTCTTCTTAGCCCGTGCATTTATAGCCATGCGCGTTATCCCGGTTTAGTGATGCTCTAGAAACTTTGTGCGTCCAAAGTTCCATAGAGAGCGGCCACACTCCCACATTCACATAGGTGATCTATAAGAAGTACCCCCCCCCCCCCAAAGTAAAGTACTTCACTCCATATGGAGTATAGACCTCATTAATAGTTACTATTAAGTCAACCTCCACGGCTTTGGGATTCATACTTCACTATGCATGAACTTTTCTCAATATTACTCCTGACTTGTTATTATCCATTGAACCCGTTTCTTGGGATCTCCCGCCTATCAGATCGGGTTACCGTCACTTGTAATTCATGGTTCGGTAGGCATAAGTCCCATAACCTTAGCGGTATTATTGACTTTCTCTCTATGTAATCCTTTCTTCAAAGGATCAGCTTGATTATGTTTTGATCTTACATGATCCACCCTCAATGCTCCTATCATTAGGATATGCTTATGATGAATCTCTCGTCTCTTTCCGTTATAAAGCTGGTTCTCGACTTTAGCGATAGTTGCAGACTGTAGTGCTATCACAATGGATCAATACCGGAGGAACCGATCTTTCCCATAGGCGAATATCTGACAATAATCCTCTCAACCAACCCACTTCTACACTAGTCGTTGCTAGTGCTATCATCTCTAATTCCATAGTTGAATGAGCTAGGATTGATTATTTCTTAGACTTCTATGACACAGCTCCTCCAGCGATGTTAAAAACATAACCACTGGTTCCATTGGAGTCAATTGATTTGGTATTCCTGTCCGCATCACAATACCCTTCTAGTTAGTGATGTTAATTTGAACCCGCCCCTCGGGTATTACCCGAACTGATCAGCGCTAGGACGGGTATTACCCGACCCGCAGTATCGTGAGGCGGGGCATGGGTATCTACTTTCGCCCCGCCCTGCCCCGCCTCGACCCATTCTTGGCCCATTTTAACTCAAATACTTACAATATCTATTCATATTTCTCAAATTTTGACTTTTCATCAACTAGTTTGACTCTACTTTCAACTAGTTAGACTTAACTACATTTTCTATTATCACTATTTGTCATTCATAAAGTATTTTCCCTTTATTTTATCGCAAAAAGTAAAATTTTGCATGTATTTTTTTCATATAACGTGTAAGAGTGGATCGACCAGAACCACAGTAGCGTGGGGCGGGGCATGGGTATTGAGATACCCGCCCCGCCCCATTTCTGTCTCTACTTCTAGACAGCTGGAAACCTTTGGTAGTATATACTAAGGGTTGATGTTCTCTTGAGGTATCTCATGACCAATGTAGTCAAAATCTCGATTTTAATCTTAAAATATTACGATTTATAATCCAACCTACAAGTTCCAATCATAATTTTACTACAAAAACTTTAAACCTTAAAATCCCATAAATCCCGATTTAAAACTCTACGATTTTGTACGATTTGAAGATTCATGTCTATTGGAGCAAAATTAGGTCAGTTAGGTTTTGCCTATGAATCAAGTCAAGTTTAGTTCCCCCAACCTAGGGGTGGGCGTTCGGTCGGTTCGGTTTGAACCGAACCGAACCAGAACATCCCGAATTTCCGAGCTTCCTAAGACCCCGACCGAATTCGAACCGAAATATATTTCGGTTCGGTTCAGCCGAACCGAAATATATACCGGTTAGGTTCGGTTCGGAGACTCTGTCCGAATTTGATACCCCATATCCCCTTTCCGTCAGCCTTTACTCACCATTTCTTCCATCTCTTTCTTCCATCTCTTTCTTCTTCCCTTTTCTTTTCTAGAAACATCATCGATAGCAGAGAGAGGCAGCAGTACATGAAGATTGGAGGCGGCTTCTCTAGCACCGATTCACCCCGCCTCGCCTCTATCAACCTGATTCCTCCCCAGCGTCGATGCAGAGGCGGCTGGATATTTCAATCTCCCAAGCTTCG